ACGCCAAACCCCTGCCCAGTCCCAAGCCCCTCCTACCATCGTAGCTCCCACCTAAACCCCACACCCCAAGGACTTCCCTCCCCCCACAACCTAACATCAGCCCAGACCACGCACCCCCACCTGCTGCCCTGAGTCCACTCCCATATTCCCTTCTTCTTGGCCCCAGCCTGGAGCCCCCTCCTGCACCCCAAACACCTCATCTCCAGCCCCATCCCAGAGCCTGCACTCCCAGCCAAAGGCCTCATCCCCCAACCCTGAGCCCCCCCACACACACACACACTCCCAATCCCCACCACAGATCACCCAGGCGCAGAGTGAATTTTGTTATGTGCATCAATAGGAAGCCGACGTGTCACACATCATCTTCCTGTTGGTGCATATAAAATTCATTCCACACCTACACATAAAACATTAGAGGGAACACTGGACTCAGGCCTTAGCTAAGAGCACAAAAATAGGAGCCGGCCGTGGGTGATAGGGAAGGAATCATTTGATTGTCTGCTCTGTTCATTCCCTCTGAAGCACCTGGCATTGGCCACTGGCGGAAGGCAGGACACTGGGACAGAAGGACCATTGGTCTGATCCAGCATGGCCGTTCTTAGAGCAGATTCTCCATGAGGCAAGAGCTGGACTAGTGCTGACAGATTTTGCTCATGTGGGGCTGCAAATTTGTTTTTTTTTAAAACTTCATACAAAGCCAAAACATCAGTTATAGCAAAGCCTCAATGGCAAAACTGGGTAACCCTCTCCATCAAAGGCATCTCCAGCCAGGTCAGCTGCTCTACTGTGAAGTGAAGCAGGCTTGATTCTGCAAGGTGGCGAGAGCTTTCAGATCCCCCTGGAGATTTTAGCTGAAATCAGTTAACACCTCCCATGACCAAGGGCTGCAACCAAAAGGATGGTCTCGTGAACCAAGGAGGACATCAAAAATGAAGAATTCCACTATGGACTTGCTGAGCTAGGCCTTGGCCAAGTCACCGCATGCCCCTTTCCCAAAGCCAGATGATGTCTATCTCATAGAACTGGAAGGGACCTTGACAAATCATGTTGATGAGATACCATGATCTTGGGAACTAATTGACCATTCATTATCAGTGGGAAATAGGTCAATGGAGGGATGATAGGAGTTACTATAGAGAACTTTCTGGGTGTCTGGCTGGTGAGTCTTGCCCACATGCTCAGGGTTTAGCTGATCGCCATATTTGGGGTCGGGAAGGAATTTTCCTTCAGGGTAGATTGGCAGAGGCCCTGGAGGGTTTTCGCCTTCCTCTGTAGCATGGGGTACAGATCACAGCTAGAGGATTCTCTGCATCTTGGGGTCTTCAAAATATTTGAAGGCTTCAATATCTGAGATATAGGTGAGAGGATTATTCTAGGAGGGGTGGGTGAGATTCTGTGGCCTGCACTGTGCAGGGGGGCAGACTAGATGATCATAATGGTCCCTCCTGACCTTAAAGTCTATAAGTCATTGAAAGTCCAGTCCACTGCCCTCACAGCAGGACCAAGTACCATCCCTGATAGATGCCCCAGATTGCTAAATGACCCCCTCAAAGACTGAACTCACAACCCTGAGTTTAGCAGGCCAATGCTCAAACCACTGAGCTACCCTTCCCCAGTTCACTAAATTCAAAGGCTTTTGGCTCAGACCCTTCAGCAGTGCATCAGGTCCCCAATCAGTACATACGGCTAATAACGCTTACTCGTTTTTACACAGTGCTTGGAGCTATAAACATGCTAAATAGTAGTATTGCTCTCAGATAACGGCGTGTTTGCTCACATACAGTCGTCACGGGCGAAGGACTCTAGAAGAGGATGCCATGGACTCCAAAGTGGAAATTAGGAGAACACAATTGGGGAGCGGAGAACACTACCTTTCCGACCAGAACATTTGGGGTAATTGTTTTCCTGTTCAACAGGAGAATGAGCTGCGGAGGAGTTTCCTTTAACTAACAATTTCATCTACAGACATCCCAGGCATGGGTTTGTTCCAAGAATGGCTTTATACAGCTATTTCCCCAGAATACACCATGTGGATTATTTTACACATAAATATCCCATCTTGAAGAAAATAGTGCAGAAGGTGGTCTCTCTCAGTTAACAGTACACAAATTGGAACCACTGACTCATAGAGCAGTCAGCTATTATCTACCACCTAGCTATTTTGTCAGCAGCATCTCTGACTGACACACACACACACACACACACACACACACACACACACACACACACACACACTTAAAATAGAACCATTGTTCCGTCCTTTTTCTTCCCTAACCACTAGGGTTTCATGAACTCTTTATTCTTACATTAATTATACACATTATAAATGTGTAAAGAGGTACAGCAAAGTGTCCAATAACTTATTTGATGTACATGGCACAGTACAGCAAAACACAGAGGGTTACCCCCCCCCCCACACACACACACACACACATACACACTCACAGATTCTGCTTATTTTAGTTGGTATCAAAATATATCAGCCACTGATAATGTTACCACCATACTATAAAGTATCTGGTATTTGTTGGTCACGTTCTCCACCCAGGAAGGTCTTGAGGCTTTATCTAAGCTGGGTGTGATCAAGCAAGGTGCTGAGAAGCCCTTGGCTTCAGAAGCTGGAGGACACTCGTCTCCTCTTGGAATCAATTTCAAACATATTCACTTTCAAAGCAGTCGGCCCTCCGGGAGTTAAAAGCCTCTGTTGGTGTCTAACACCCAAGCTAGAAATCATCTTGATTTTGCTAAGATTTTATTATGGATTGTGTGACACTTCAGATCATGTGCACATTTCAGATGGGCAGAGGAAGACATGCGAAGTACAAAATTACAGGAACACTAACACTTTCCTGCCTATTTTGTGAAAGATTCTGTGATGTGGTATTTGCTTTAAGGTCCTGAGTGACTGAATTTGGCTTTGTCATCTTTCCTGAACAGCTGAATTGCAACAGGTGGTTTTCACACTATCATTGAACTTACATGAAATACAATTTTCAAACAATTCTCATTTGAGGATTCTGTTTTCACGCTGGCAGTCTGAAAAGCTGCAAGTTAAAGATGTGATGGGTCTAAAGCTTTTTCCTTTACAAGAGACACACGACAGTCTATATTTCCAGCACCATACAATCTGAGCAACGTTGTTCTGTTTGGCACTAGCCAAAAATCAGAATCACAAACTAATTTCACATTCAGTGTTTATTTTAATACAAATAGAAACGTGGGTGCCCAGATCTTGCCTGAAGTTCTACTCAGATCTTTTAAAAAAATACAGAACATTATTTCGTCATCCAACAGTTAAAAAGTTGTATTTAAAATAAACTGAACTTTCAGCAGCCTGTCAAAACAAGTATCATTGTAATGCTGCAACCTCTGCCAAGGAGAAGTATCTTCTCAAGTAGCAGCTATTATACAATCAGTTACTTCTCATCAGAAAAGAACATTTCACTTCTGATTTTTTTCAAAAGCCGATTTTGCTGTTTTTATAATGAATGGAATAAAACTCATGAAAAAATTTAGACTGATTCAGGGAAACAAATTCCATGCTGATTGGAGAGTTGATTCTGATCATCACACTTGAAGGAAGACACCTGGACAAAGGTGACCCTTTAATACAGGAGTCGGCAGCATCCAGCACCGTGTGGTAAGGGGCTCGCAAGATGATTTCCAGTGGCACACGGGAGGGAGTGGAGAAAGCCCTGAGCCTCGCTGTGCGATCGGGGAAAAAGACGGAGCCACAACTGGCTCCACACATGCATGCGCCCTCCCGCTCCCCCGGCTGGAGGAAAAAGCAGCACACTGGCCCGCTGCCTGCAGGCTTTTCCCGCTGCTCCACTGGCCAGAATCCGGAGACAGAAAGCCTGGGAGCAGCGTGGGGGACAAAAGGAGACCAGGCCGCCACCTTGCCCATGAAGGACCTGCCATCTTGCCCATGAAGGACCCGCCACTTCCATGGCCGTGTCCCCGCTGCTCGATGCGCTGATCCACTCCTGCCTCCTGTGTGCTCGCACCTGCCGGAGAGCCCCATGGGGCTGCTGGAGTCCATTATTCAGGAGCTAGCAGGCTGGATCCCGGCCAGCCTGCCCGGACCCGCCGGCCGGGCTCCCTGCGCTCCTGGCAAGGCGTGGCCTCCATTCCACATTCAGCCCATGAGCCACTAACTTATTCCGTGTGTGGAACAGCGTCTGTCTGCCACCTGGGAGTGATTGTTTCAATAAATAAAGCCTGTTATAGA